CGAGTCTTGTCTGCCATTCGATAATGGCTGATATGTTTCTCAACCCCATTCTCCTTTCTTTTCCTTGTAACCTTTGATCTCCTAATTGATCAAAAACATATCTCTGTTTGAAATATACTCAACAACTTGGCAATGAGGTCCACAGATTCAACATGCTCTGGCTGAAGACATTCCTCCTTATTTCTGTTCTAAAGGGTCGTCCCTCCACTCTGAGGCTATAACCTCCAGCCCTATTCTCTCCTACTAGCGTACTCCTACATCTTCTCTATGTCCACTCTATCCAGGCCTCTTAGTGCCCTGTAAGTTTCAATCAGAACCTCCCTCATTCTTTTAAACTTCACCAAGAACAGACCCGGAATCCTCAACCACTTCTCATATGACAAGCCCTTCATCCCTGAGATCGTTCTTATAAACCTCCTCTTGACCCCTTCCAATACCAGCATATCCTCCCTTAGATACGGAGCCCAGAACTGCTCACAATATTCCAGGTGCAAGTTTTGCATTAAGATCTCGATTGACTATGCAATTGATCAGACACATTAAAGTAATTCTCAAAGACAAAAGCTTGTCGCCGAGTGCAGATAGACACTGAGTGTGAACTTGGGAATTTGGTGAGCAGGGCAATGAGGGAGTGACCGGCAGATTAAAAACTACAAAGATTAAGTAGCAATAAGAAGTGAGTTGCTGGTGAAAAGCATCAAAACTTCAGTGGCTTCAAAAAGCATGGGAAGTAGAGAGAAAAACCCATTATTCAGTCTTATCTGCCACTTGACACTGCAGTGAAACAAGTGATTGATTATTAAGTATTTAGCTTGTTTTTTCTTTCAAAGCTCCTTCAATTTATTAATAAGGAATTAGTAAGGAAGGAAGAGTGAAAAATTAATGTCTTAAAAATAATAAGATTGAGCAAATCAACAGGTATAAGAGAGAGAATTTTAGATTTCTGGGGCAGGTGGGACCTATACAAGGAGGACAGGTTAAGCCTTAGCAGGACTGGGACAGATGGCCTCAGAGCTAGACTGGGTAGTGCTCTTAGGGATAGTTTAAACTAGCTTGTCAGACGCATGGGAACTTGAGATGGAATGAGGAAATGAGGGGAGGTAATGGCCTAGTGATATGATCACTAGATTATTAATTCAGAGACCCGGGTAATATTCTGGGGACCCGGGTTTGAACAACATCACAGCAAAGTGGAATATGAATAAAATAAAAATTCGGAATTAATAATCAACTGATGAGCATGAAACCTTTGCTGATTGCTGGAAAAAGCCATCTGGTTCACTAATGTCCTTTAAGGGGAGGAAATCTGCCATCCTTACTTGGCCTGATCTGTGGGTCTGACTCTACAGCATTGTTGTTGACTCTTAACTGCCCTCTGGATAATTAGGGTTTGTTAGTGACACCCATATCCCATCAATGAGCAAAGAAAAGAAACAGAACTAGCTAATGGGATATAGGAATACTGTAAACAGAATTTTTTTCATTCATTCAGGATGAGGGCATCACTGGCATTTATTGCCCATTCCTAATTGCCCAGAGGCAGTTAAGAGTCAACCACATTGCAGTTTCCTTCCCTAAAGGTCACCAGTGAACCAGATGGAACCTGACAATCAACAAATGATTTATGGTCATCATTATACTCCTAATTACAGAACTTTTTTTATTGAATTCATGAACCTGGGTACCCAGAACATTACCTGGGTCTCTGAATTAACAGTCCAGTGATAATACCATTAGGCCATCACCTCCCCTAAAATGGAAAGCACAAGAAAATAATATCAACATGAAATCAAGTTAAAACACCAAAGAATGATGAAAAGGCAGAAATGAAGGCACTGTATCTTAAAACACACAACATTTCTAACAAGGGAGTTGTTTACTTTATAAATGGTTATGATCCAACTGCAATTATGGCTAAAGGGTGGTCAAGGCTGGGAACTGAATATTAAAGAATATTTCACAGGAGGGTAAACAGGAGAAGGAGCTGGTGTTTTCCTGCTCATGTGTTAAGCGATTTTAGATAAGAAGAATAGGTTGTAGGATCGATTTGGAAGAAGTTAAGGAACAGCAACGAGCAGCAAACAGAGCTGGGAGTTGTTTATAGGCCAACAAAGAGTAGTGATAAGGTAGGAAAGTGTATAAGTCAAGAAATATGTGGTGCATGTAACAAGGGTAATGCAGTAATCAGGGGTGATGTTGATGTGTATGTAAAACTGAGTAAACCCACTGAGCATCAGTGCTGGGATTTATATAAGCTGCTGCTCTAAGGTTGTGTGTTGAGGAAACAAGGAAACAGGCTATTTTAGTTGTATTATATACAGAGTAAGGACTAATTAAAAATCTTGTTGCAAAATTACTTTTAGGGAAGAGTGACCATAATATGTTGGAATTCTTCATTAGGTTTGAAAACAATGTCGTTCAATCTTAAACTAGGTCTTAGGTCTAAAAAAAGGAAATTATGAAGGTGTGAGGGGTAAACTGGTTGTAGTAGATTGGAAAAATGTATTAAAAACCTACGTCAGAAAACATGCAATGGCTAGTATTATTTATACCAAACATGCATTCTTTTAAGACATAGAAACAGAAAATGTGAGTCAATGTAGTTAACAAAGGAAGTTGCAGATTGTACTAGGTCATAGGAGAAGGCTTCCAAAGATGTTAAAATTTAATAAGCCTGAAGATTTGCAGCATTTTAGCATTCAGCAAAAGACGACCAAGATGCCGATTTTCAAAGGGAAGCTAGAATACAAGTGCAAAGCAATAGTAAAAAATTAAGTAGACTATAACAGCCTCTGTGGATATCTAAAAGGAAAAGCATTAGTGCGGAGAGACAGAAGAATGTAGGATGGGAAATAGGGAAATAGCAGAGAAGTTAAGAACTCCTTTGTGACTGTCTTCATGGAGGAAAGTATAAAAAATATTCCAGAAATGACAGTGGCTCAAGGGACTAGTGAGAATGAGGAAAGAAGGTAATTAGCATTGGCAAAAAATAGTATTAGAGAAATTAATGTGACTGAATGTTGACAAATCCCTTGGATTCAATGATCTAAATCCTAGAACATTGAACGAGGTAGCTGTGGAGAAATGGATGCATTGGTGATCATCTTTAAAATTTCAACATATTTTGGAGCGGGACCTACAAATTGGAAAGTTATAAGTATTAGTTCACGCTTCAAGAAAGAGGAAGGAGAGAACTACAGACCCAGTAGTTGGATGGCAGTAGTAGGGAATATATTTGAATCTATTCAAAATGAAGTGATAACTGGATATTTAGAAAATAATGGTCAGATTGGGCCAAGTCAGCTGAAGGCAAGTTCATGTTTGATCATTTTTTAAGATGTTGCTCATAGAACAGATGGAGGGGGAAACCAATAAATGTAGTGTATTTGGATTTATAGAAAACTTTTGACAAAGTCCAACAGGAGTATAATAAGCACACTTAGACCACATGGGATACAGGGCAATATATTCTCATGGATTGAGAATTAGTTATTGGAGAGAAATCAGAACATAGGAAAAAATGTGCCATTCTCAGATCGGCAGTCTGTGGTTACTGGGGTACCACAAGGATCAGTGTTTGGGACCAAGTTGTTCACAATCTACATCCATGTTCTGGTTGCGGGGACCAAACATAATATTTCTAAGTTTGCAGATGCTATGAAACAAGGTAAAATTTGTGATGATGCAAATATGAATCTGGAGGATCAAGCTGACAAAATCATGGCAGGTATGGATAAGCGTGAAGCTATCCACTTTAGTAGGAGGAACTAAAGTGCAGAATGTTTCTTCAATGATGAGATTGGGAAATGTCGATGTACGAAAGGACCCGAGTGTCCTTGTTCATAACTCACTGAAAGCTGCTAACAATGCAGGAAGTGATGTTCAGGTGGATGATCAGCCAGGATATAGAATGGTTGAGCAGGTTCAAGGGGCTGGAAGACCTAGTCCCACTCCCATTTTCCTACATTCCTAGAAACACAAAGGATATTTTTTATATTAGGCAGCAATAAAGCCACAACAATATACACCAATACTATGCCTTTCCTGCAGACAGATCTCCCAAGGTATTTCAGACAGTCCCTATCAGAAAAAAATGGACACTTAAACAAAGGAAGTATCGACAATGACTTGACCACAAGCTTAATTGTAAGATTGGAATTTAAAGAAAACCTGAGGTGTAGGGCACATGAAATACATTTCGGAGAAGGCACTTTGAACAAAAAGTTGAAATTAATGGATAGGGATAGTTACAAACTTCAACAGATTTCCTAACTGGAATTTTTTTTTATTATGTCTGGCAGCATCTATGAAGGGAAAAAGAGTTAATATTTTGGGTCCGGTGACCCTTCCTCAGAACTGATAGTGTCTGGGAAAACGTCAGTGAATATATGCAGAAAATAGGGAGGTGGGTGGGGTAGGGAGTAAACGATAGGATACAGCCCAAAGATTTATAGGCTCTCTCTTTGGGCTCTATCCTATTGTTTACTGCCTACCCAACCCACCTCTCTATTTTCTGCATATAAACTGACGTTTTCCCAGCCACCATCAATTCTGAGGAAGGGTCACCGGACCCGAAACGTTAACTCTGTTTTTCCCTTCACAGATGCTGCCAAGCCTGCTGAGCTTCTCCAGCAACTTTGTTTTTGGTTTTGTTCCTGATTTACAGCATTTGCAGTTCTTTCGTTTTTTTTATTATCTTGTACTCTGTTATACCTAAGCGAACAGCTATCTTCCACTGTACTCATGTATATCTGATCGAGTGAACTTGAGGCTAGGTCAAAGAAAAGGACATATTTAACCTCACTTATCATTAGGAAACTGACAACATTGGGTAAACATCCTTCAAAGTCACTGGAGGGTAACATTGCCAGAAGTGTAAAGTTTCATCAATTCCTTTTATTCACTGCCTCATGGTTAGGTTAAAACGGTTGCAAGGAGCCTACCAAGAGTATTGCTAACTAGAAGTCAGCCAAGAGATGAAAGTAAATGGGATGTCTTACCGGTGCCACTGATCCACAATTAACTTGGAAGGTAATCTCCAAATGATTTTGGGTTTTGGATTGCCCGTGGCTGAGCAGTGGAGTTGTAATTTATCTCCATAGTTCACTTTGTTGTTGCTCGAGGAAGCAGAAACAATCTTAGGGATCTCGTGTTTGCGTTCCACCATTAAACTTACAACTCGCCTTTCCGATCCAGTCGAACTTGTAGCTATACATTCATAATTCCCACTGTCTGATGGAGTCAAGGATTTGACATAAAGTGTCCCATTGGTAAAGACAAATACTTTTGTATTGATAAACTGCAAAGGTTGGATTTCGGTGCCATCAAAGATCATCCAACGGACAGAAGGTGTAGGTGTTCCTACAGCGGTGCAGGGTAGTCTGATGTTCTGCCCTTCTTCACCTTTGACACTGTCTTGCCTTGCTTCCAGGATAGCTGGGGGCTGAGCGACCACTTGCATCCTAACAGTTACTGTATCAATACCGGCCGGATTACTGGCCACACACCTGTAATTCCCTTGATCATACACGGTGACTGCTTTAATCTTGAGGGTGCCATCAGCCAACACTGAGACTCTCCCATTGAATGGGCTACTGTTCCTCACCAGGGTCCTGTTGGAAAGGATCCATGAGATTGTTGGAGCTGGCCTTCCCTGAGATCGGCACTTCATCTCCACTGGATACCCAGCATGGACTATGATGTCTTTCATTCGAGGTTCTAATATCTTCGAAGGGTAAGCCACCACAGAGAGAGTGACCAGAAGTCGTTCCGAGCCATACTGGTTTTCTGCTATGCAGAGGTACTGTCCACGGTCCTGAACTGTAATTTTCTGAATGGTCAGTGTGCCATTTGGAAAGACCTCAAATTTATTGCCACGTTTGACTTTAGCTGTGACCGTTGCACCTACACCAAGAACCACATATTTATATCCAACAAATCAGCATTAAGTGAACTTACAAAGTAATTAAATGCTAGTTACATGAAATCTATAACTTTACATTTCACTATTAAAATGTATAAGATACATAAAATAGTCGAACTTAATAGCAGATTATACATTGACTTTGAAAACTTTTGGGTTCTTTAGAAACTATTTATGTCCTTAAGCTGCGTGGAAAGTGGATAAACAAGAAGGAAGTTAGATGAGTGAAAAATTAAAGTTATCAATCAAACTTAAAATTATAAATTAAGCATTGTGTGATGTGAAAACCATAGAATGTTAAAGGACATCATGGCAGAAAGTTTATTTCACAGTCAGAAGCAGCTACAGCTAATCCTTATTTGATAAAAAAAGTCCAACCATTGCAGTTGTGATTACATTAACATGCAAACATCTGAGACGTTGTGAGTTCATAACCTCACCAAAGCAAATTGGGGCAAATGAGTTCAATCGAGCTGGTAATTAATAGACTGATATCAAGAAAACATTGTCATAAAGCTTCAGTTAGTTCAGGAGTGCCCTTCAGTGATCTTTGCCATTACCTGATCAGACCTACAAGTGACTCCAGTACCACAAGACAGGATTGATGCTTAAAGTCCTCAGAGCAACCAAGAATGAGCAGTAAATGTTTCCTTCACGGGGTTCCTGTATATTAAAACAATGTACGGGTGGTGGAAGGAAATCTTCCACCATTTCAAGTTGTGTACAGTTGTGGTTTATTAATAACAAGGGAAGGTAACGGCCTAGTGGTATTATTACTGGACTGTTAATCCAGAGACCCAGATAATGTTCTGGGGATAGCAGGAACTGCAGATGCTGGAGAATCTGTGATAACACGGTGTAGAGCTGGATGAACACAGCAGGCCAAGCAGCATCAGAGGAGCAGGAAGGCTGACGTTTCGGGCCTAGACCCTTTTTCTGAAGAAGGGTCTAGG